AAACTTTTCACGAGTACAAAAAGAGCATAGACCTGACCATAGCAAGAGACAATACGAACACAGACCTGAACATGACAAGAGACGAAAACGAACTGACACTGAATACTGGGAGACAGGGGAATTTAAACACAGGGTAACAAGACACAGGTGGAAATAATCAGGGGCGGGAATGACGCTGACTAGCACAGGAGACAGGTGAAAACAATCAGGAAATTAGACACACCAGGGAAAACTACCGACAGACAGGAAAACACAGGGAAAAAAGACCAGACAATATACAGGGAGGAAAACATGATAAGGAGAACAGAAAAACACCCACTACCAGACACACAAACTTAAAACCGTGACAGAACCACAGAACCCCCCCCTCAAGGNAACTAACGACAGACAGGAAAACACAGGGAAAAAAGACCAGACAATATACAGGGAGGAAAACATGACGAGGAGAACAGAAAAACACCCACTACCAGACACACAAACTTAAAACCGTGACATCAGGTTGATGATTTTTTAACGTTATCTTATTAGGTCACTTGTAGGCAACCGCCACTTTTAAAAAACGGAACAGATTACATTTTACAGGATTAAGGAATAAGGATACAAAAACAAAAAGGTATGAAAAATCTCTCACTGGATGTCTGCTCACCACCTCAAGCTCAACCTTGACAAGACTGAACTGCTTTTCCTTCCGGGAAAGATTGTCCCACTCTTGACCTGACAATCAACATCGGCCCCTCTGTTGTTTCCCGTACCTCAGACTGCAAGGAAAGTACTGGGTGGTGACCCTACGATAACAAACTAGTCCTTAACCTTAGCAAACAATCGCTGCTACAACCCGCCTGCTGCAGCGGTAATAAACTTACGTTATAGCATACATTATTACGAAGGTTNGAAAGATTGTCCCACTCTTGACCTAACAATCAACATCGGCACCTCTGTTGTTTCCCCGACTCAGACTAAGGAATCTGGGTGTGACCCTAGATAACAAACTGTCCTTCACTGCAAACATCGCTGCTACAACCCGCTGCTGCAGATACACTCTTTACAACATCAGGAGGATACGTCCCCTCCTGACCCAGAAAGCGACGAAGTTTCTGGCCCAGGCTCTCGTCATCTCACGCCTAGACTACTGCAACTCCCTCCTGGCTCCCAAGTTCCCATCAGCAATATATTTGCACATATTTCGGCGCAGACTGAAAACTCATCTCTTTCGACTCCACTTCGAGCGATAGAATTACTAACAAAGCA